ATATATATATATATATATATACCGGGTGTAACAGCAAAAATTGTCCAATCGTCTAACAGCAAAATTGCCCAATTCTTAGATTAATCCATGAAGCGTTTTATGTTAGAAATGATTAAAGATATCTTACTGGAATTCTCCATGGTTTTATAAAAGTATTGGATTCTACTTTGAAGAATAAGAATGTATTTAGCTCTAAGTTGAAATGATGATCCGTCTTGCTGTTTTGACCTCCTGATCCAGTTTTCCTCTCTACTCTTCCCTCTTTTTTTAAACTTATTAACCATTCTCTTGCTGCTTCTTGAACGGACTTGGAAGATGTAAACCAGAGTATGAATATAAGTACAATTACTGAAGGCCTGAATGATTTTTCTCTGACGATTGCTGAGTTGAGAAGACAGTGGTTCTGACACAAAACGATTTTAACCTGTTCTATTTCTAGAAGAATCATAAGAGTTTTCAATGATTCTTACGACTAATGGTGTTAGGATGGCTAAACGTCTTATCTAAAAACCTGGATAAAACAAACTCAGTTTAGTCATGTTTTAGATATTAAACTTTTTGTGCGATGGTGAATTATCTCATGTTATTACACGACTGGGACATTTTTGTTGTTACACATGGCACATAAGATATGTAAGCAGTATTCAATACAGGGACGAATGGTAGTTTTATAAATGTGTAATATGAATTGACGACAAAAATTGCCTGATACAACGCAGTGAACCAATTTTTAAAGTAGTAGAATTAATAATCGATTCCATTTCATATCAGTGGAAAACGTGAGGCAAGTGAAGAAAAGTTAGGTCAAAGGATAAGATCTGGTGCACGACCCCATTAATCTAGAAGTGTGTTTGTTCAAAAACGTGATTTGTTTAGAAGGTTTGGATTAAGCCAAATACTCGTCTAGACACATAATATTCCTTGAAATGGTGGAGAAGTCCTTCCTGCAAATCCTTGCCAAACGCCTTGGAATTATCTAAGACCACAGCCCGAGACACGCTGTTATTATCTAAAGCCTGAGAGACAAATTCGCGAATAATCGTTAACAGAACGAAGTTGAACCTAAAGGAATGAAAGCCATATTTTTTTTATCCGTAATAAGTGTTGTGAGGTGAGATGCTTAACCAATTCGTAGTTTATTAGAGCCTCTCGTATTTTGCTAAAGAAGATTTATAGGCTGATAATACGAGAGATCAGAGGAGGGTTTCCGGTGACACCAAGAAGCAGTAAGGCATTTATTGGAGAATTTTTGCCTTTTAAAGGAAACACACTTCCTTAGGACAATTTTAGGGATAGTGTCATGTCCGCCATCTTGGTAAGAATCTCTATTGGAGATGATAGCAGAAATTATGGACTGAGTTATGTGCATACCAATCAGTAGAGATACCATTCTAGAGGGAGAAATCAGGTAAAGATGCCCCTGAATATTTGAGAGGGGAGTTGGAAGATAATTTGCAATCAAAACATTCTAATTTATTAGCAGTAGATAACAAAACTTCACTGCGATAATAACCTGGTATTTAATATTTATTATAGCTCGGATTGAGGGTTCGGAGAGCCGAGTTCAAATTTCAGTTAAATTCATTACATGCCTGGGTTCTGTAACCTTGGTTGGCAACCGTTCTAGGTAAAGAAAAACCCAAACTATCCTGGAAAATCCGGGAAGGAAGGACACGAAGGCAGTTAATATGTCAAAACTGTTTGGTATTATCTTGCAGTCAATGCGGTCTGCTTCCTCAACCCAGACGTCACACACTTGTACCTGGGTTCTGTAACCTTGGTTGGCAACCGTTCTAGGTAAAGAAAAACCCAAACTATCCTGGAAAATCCGAGAAGGAAGGACACGAAGGCAACCGTTCTAGGTAAAAAAAACCCAAACCATCCTGGAAAATCCGGGAAGGAAGGACACGAAGGCAGTTAATATGTCAAAACTGTTTGGTATTATCTTGTAGTCAATGCGGTCTGCTTCCTCACCCCAGACGTCACACACTTGTGTCTGGGTTCTGTAACCTGGTTGGCAACCGTTCTAGGTAAAGAAAAACCCAAACCATCCTGGAAAATCCGGGAAGGAAGGACACGAAGGCAGTTAATATGTCAAAACTGTTTGGTATTATCTTGCAGTCAATGCGGTCTGCTTCCTCACCCCAGACGTCACACTTGTGCCTGGGTTCTGTAACCTTGGTTGGCAACCGCTCTAGGTAAAGAAAAACCCAAACTATCCTGGAAAAACCGAGAAGGAAGGACACGAAGGCAACCGTTCTAGGTAAAGAAAAACCCAAACCATCCTGGAAAATCCGGGAAGGAAGGACACGAAGGCAGTTAATATGTCAAAACTGTTTGGTATTATCTTGTAGTCAATGCGGTCTGCTTCCTCACCCCAGACGTCACACACTTGTGTCTGGGTTCTGTAACCTTGGTTGGCAACGGTTCTAGGTAAAGAAAACCCAAACCATCCTGGAAAATCCGGGAAGGAAGGACACGAAGGCAGTTAATATGTCAAAACTGTTTGGTATTATCTTGCAGTCAATGCGGTCTGCTTCCTCACCCCAGACGTCACACACTTGTGCCTGGGTTCTGTAACCTTGGTTGGCAACCGTTCTAGGTAAAGAAAAACCCAAACTATCCTGGAAAATCCGAGAAGGAAGGACACGAAGGCAACCGTTCTAGGTAAAGAAAAACCCAAACCATCCTGGAAAATCCGGGAAGGAAGGACACGAAGGCAGTTAATATGTCAAAACTGTTTGGTATTATCTTGCAGTCAATGCGGTCTGCTTCCTCACCCCAGACGTCACACACTTGTGTCTGGGTTCTGTAACCTTGGTTGGCAACCGTTCTAGGTAAAGAAAAACCCAAACCATCCTGGAAAATCCGGGAAGGAAGGACACGAAGGCAGTTAATATGTCAAAACTGTTTGGTATTATCTTGCAGTCAATGCGGTCTGCTTCCTCACCCCAGACGTCACACACTTGTGTCTGGGTTCTGTAACCTTGGTTGGCAACCGTTCTAGGTAAAGAAAAACCCAAACCATCCTGGAAAATCCGGGAAGGAGGAAGGACACGAAGGCAGTTAATATGTCAAAACTGTTTGGTATTATCTTGCAGTCAATGCGGTCTGCTTCCTCACCCCAGACGTCACACACTTGTGTCTGGGTTCTGTAACCTTGGTTGGCAACGGTTCTAGGTAAAGAAAAACCCAAACCATCCTGGAAAATCCGGGAAGGAAGGACACGAAGGCAGTTAATATGTCAAAACTGTTTGGTATTATCTTGCAGTCAATGCGGTCTGCTTCCCTCACCCCAGACGTCACACACTTGTGCCTGGGTTCTGTTACCTTGGTTGGCAACCGTTCTAGGTAAAGAAAAAAACCAAACCATCCTGGAAAATCCGGGAAGGACACGAAGGCAGTTAATATGTCAAAACTGTTTGGTATTATCTTGCAGTCAATGCGATCTGCTTCCTCACCCCAGACGTCACACACTTGTGCCTGGGTTCTGTAACCTTGGTTGGCAACCGTTCTAGGTAAAGAAAAACCCAAACCATCCTGGAAAATCCGGGAAGGAAGGACACGATGATTCTTCTAATTTTAGATGGGAGAAGTTGCTCAGCCCCGGAGATTCCAACATTGCAGTAGCCCTTTCTTCATTGTACTAAAGAGGTTGGATTAGTGTAATACCTACGCCAGGATGATAATGATCAGTTTCTGTGCTTAGCCCATAAGCATAGTAAAAACGACCTTGTGTCACACCCAGCTTTCCGTGGTGATGCCGGTTAAATATATTTAATTGTGCTAGGCTGGGTCATCTTTGATTCTCGATAGACTCCTTTCACTTATTTTTATATATGTTTACCTTTTTAAATTTTTTGCTCCTTAGAGAAATTCCATATCATGAATCTGCTGCTAGGTCAACTGCTTAGAAAGTTGGTTCACTATGTCGTGGGAGACAGTTTTTCTCTTCGGAATCTATTTTACATATCTATATGTCTACCATTCGTCCATTCTTAGAATATTGCTACCTCATATGGTCCAGTGCCTCTGCTATTTTCCTTGAACTCCTTAATAAAATCCAAACAAGAATCAGCAATATTATCGGTCCTGGCCTAGCATCTCAGCTACAGTCTCTTTCCCACTGCTGTAAGGTTACCTCTCTGTGTCTTTTCTATAAATACTTTCATGATAGTTATTCGAATGAACTCTCCGCTATAGTACCTAGAATTTTGAATTTTAGATCTCAACAGTTTACATTTGAGCTGGCTAAATTTAACCGTAAATTCTATGCTAACAGTTTCCTTTCTCGCACTTTTTGCTTGTGGAACTCCCTTCCAGCCAAATTTAATCTGCAAAAATCTAAATGGATTGTCAATCACTATCTACTGTCCTCTTGATTACTCTATCCTGATCATTATTAATATTTATATTCCTAATTCTTCCACACCCTGTAACCAACTGTGTCTTACAGCCTTGCATGGGGTGACACTGATGAGTAAAAAAAAAAAATTAAAACGATGAAAGAAGAAGTTGGTAGTGAAGAGACAATAGCAGGGAGAAATTATTTTTTTCGTTTCTTTTGGATAATTTACATAGTTTGCCTTGTGGATTATTCGTACTCCGAATGAACGAGTGCTTAATAAAGAAGACTTATTCGGAAAATAATATCTTCCTTTTGGGAATGCGTCCTGGTAACGTTGTACGTGTGTTTTATTGTCAACTCCACATCAGCACGACGTGCACTTAATTCGTCGCCTGATCATGTGACATTTACTCAGTCACGTGATCATTTAAACATATTTGAGTAGATTTCTCCATCGTTTCAACTGTCAAGTTTCCTGCGTTTTGACGAGCAATTTAAGCAGTTCTCGAAATTATTAACGACGTCAGAAATCATGTTTTTTTTTTTAATTATTATGTTTAATTTTTATGTTCCTTTTTTATTATCATCTTTTCGATTTATTATTATGTTTCTTTTTTTATATTTCCTTTTTTACGTTCCCTTTTTTAATATTATGTTTCCTTTTTCATGTTTCTTTTTTATTATTCTCTTTCTTTTCTTTGTTGATGCTGTTTTTTTTTCTTTTATTTCTTTCCTGTAGATTTGAACTTTCTTTTTTCCGACCGGAGTTTTGAGTTGAATATTTTTTTTTTGCCGTTTTTTTTTTTTTATTATTTAATTAGTTTTCCTATTCCTTTATTTGACTTGCGTGGCTAGCATTTCTTTTATTTTTTTTTTTCAAATATTGCTGTCTTTTTTTTTTTTAATTTAGGTTTATTTTCATTTCGTTTTTTTTTTATCCGGAATTCATTTGATTTATTTTTTCATATACCTGGTATTTCTTTGAATTATTTGATTTTCTTCATTTATTTTTTCGAAGATATGTAAATTCGATTCACCACGTTGCCCCTTCATTTATTTCTTTTTAATTTTATCTTTATTTCTTCATTGCTTTCTTTCTCATTTTCTTTCTTTCTTTCTTTCTTTCTTTCTTTCTTTCTTGCTTGCTTGCTTGCTTGCTTTCTACTTTTCATTCTTTCTCATTTTCTTCAGCTCTTTTTCTCCCTCCTTTTCTTCATTTCTCCTTTTCTTTCTTTCTTTCTTTCTTTCTTTCTTTCTTTCTTTCTTTCTTTCTTTCTTTGTGCCTTATTTTCTTCCTTTCTCCTGTTCTTTCTTTCATTCTCTCATCTCCCTTTTTTTCTTCCACCTTTACGTCCTTTCTTCCTCATTTTTTCTTCCTCATTTTCTTGATTTGTTTCTTTGTTTCTAGCGTTCTTTCTTTCTTTCTTTATTGATTTGTTTATTTATTTCTTCATCCATTCTTTCTCCCTTTATTTGTTCCTCTTTTTCTTTCTTCCTTCATTTCTTTCTTTCTTTCTCATTTTCTTTCTTTCTTTCTTTCTCATTTTCTTTCTTTCTAATTCCCTTTCTTTCTCCCCTTTTCTTTTTACTTCTTTCTCCATTTCTTTCTTTCTTTCTTTCTTTCTTCCTCCATTTCTTTCTTTCATTTTTCTTTTCTTTATTTTTTCTTTAGTTTCTTCTTGCTTTCTTTTTTATGCTTTTTCTTTGCCTTTTTTACTTTCTTTCGACTCTTTTTTTTTTCATTTTTTTTTCTTTTGTTTTCTTTTTTCCTTTTTCTTTCTTTCTTTTTTTTCTTTTTCATCTTTTCTTTTTCTTTCTTTCTTTTTCCTTTTTTTTTTTCTTTCTTTTTTTTCATTTTTCGTTTTCCTAAAATTTTTATATCTTTCTTTCAATTTTCTTTCTTTTGCCTATTTTTTCTTTTTAAAATTTTATTCATTTTTTCTCTTTCTTTTTTTTTCCTTTCTTTATGTCTTTTGTTTTCTCCTACAAGTTTTCATTTTCCTATAATTTTCTTTCTTTTTTCTTTTCTTTCTTTCCATTTTACTTTTTTAAATCTTTGAAGATATTTTTCTTTTATCTTTTCTTTTCCCATCTTGAAAAAAAGTCAGACTTCAGTTTTTTTTTTTCTTTCTTCTTCAAAATATATTTTCATTTCCATTATTTTTCATTTACTCTTATATATATATATATATTTGAATTCATTTGATTTATTTTTTCATATACCTGGTATTTTTTGAATTATTTGATTTTCTTTCGATTCACCACATTGCCCCTTCATTTTATTTCTTTTTAATTTTTTTTTTTTTTCTTTCTTTCTCCTTTTCTTTTTCTCTCTTTCTTTCTTTCTTTCTTTCTTTCTTGTTTCCTTTTTCATTTTTCTCATTTTTTACTTCATCTCTTTTTCTCCCTCCTTTTCTTCATTTCTCCTTTTCTTTCTTTCTTTCTTTCTTTCTTTCTTTCTTTCTTTTCTTTCTTTGTTTATTTTTCTTCCTTTCTCCTTTTTTCTTTCTTTCATTTTCTCATTTGTCCTTTCTTTCATTTTTCTTCCTCATTTTCTTTTTGTTTTCTATTCTTTCTTTATTTATTTGATTTATTTTCATTTCTTCATCCATTCTTTCTCCCTTTTTTATTTTTCCTCTTTTCTCCTTATTTTCTTTCTTTCTTTCTCATTTCTTTTGGTTTTCTTTTTTTCTTTTTTTCTTTTTTTCTTTTTTTTTACTTATTTCTTTTTTCTTTATTTCTTTCTTTTTCATTTTTCTTTTTCTTTTTTTCTTGCTTTCTTTTTATGCTTTTTCTCTTGCCCTTTTTCTTTCTTTCGACTCAAAGTTGACGTATTTTTTCTTTCATTTTTTTTTCTTTTTGCTCCTTTCTTTCTTTCCTTTTTCTTTCTTTCTTTTTCTTTGTGTTATCTTTATTTTTCCCCCTATCTTCGAACAGTTTTCATCTTTTCTCCTCAACAGGTTCTTTTTTCTTTCTTTCTTATCTTTTTCGTAACATTTTTTCTTTCTTTCAGCTACAATTTTTCATTTTTCGTTTTCCTAAAATGTTATGCATATATCTTTCTTTCAATCTTTCTTTCTTTTGCCTATAATATTTTATTTTTCTTTGCCTAAAATTTTATTCATTTTTCTTTCTTTTTTCGTTCTTTCTTTCTTTATTTCTTTCTTTATGTCATTCGTGTTTCTCCTACAAGTTTTCATTTTCCTATAATTTTCTTCCTTTTTTCTCACTTTCTTTCTTAGTCATTTTTCATTGGTATTCTCCCGCTATTTTACCTGCCTGTTCTTTTATCCTTCGCCGCATTTAAATCTTTGAAGATATTTGATGTTATCATATATTATCGAAAATTTAGCCATCATTTTCCCCAAAGTTTTGCTAACAGTAGCCTTCCCATCTTGAAAAAAAAACAAATTCTTCAGAAGGAAAATGGAAAAAAATTCGGATGGATGAACCGACAAAGGAAAATAAGAATTTATTTTTTCTTCCGTGTTGCGTAATTAGGAATAGAGACGAGGAATGACATATGTCTTTCGACAACAGGAAAGAAAGTTCTTCCGAAATATATTTTCATGTATACCTGATCAAGCCATTATATTTACATACCTTAATACTCATATATATATATATATATATTTGAATTCATTTGATTTATTTTTTCATATACCTGGTATTTCTTTGAATTATTTGATTTTCTTCATTTATTTTTTTCGAAGATATGTAAATTCGATTCACCACATTGCCCCTTCATTTATTTCTTTTTAATTTTATCTTTATTTCTTCATTGCTTTCTTTCTCCTTTTCTTTCTTTCTCTCTTTCTTTCTTTCTTTCTTTCTTTCTTGTTTGCTTTCTCCTTTTCATTTTTTCTCATTTTCTTCATCTCTTTTTCTCCCTCCTTTTCTTCATTTCTCCTTTTCTTTCTTTCTTTCTTTCTTTCTTTCTTTCTTTCTTTCTTTCTTTCTTTGTGCCTTATTTTCTTCCTTTCTCCTTTTCTTTCTTTCATTCTCTCATCTCCCTTTTTTTCTTCCACCTGTACGTCCTTTCTTCCTCATTTTTTCTTCCTCATTTTCTTGATTTGTTTCTTTGTTTCTAGCGTTCTTTCTTTTTCTTTATTGATTTGTTTATTTATTTCTTCATCCATTCTTTCTCCCTTTATTTGTTCCCCTTTTTCTATGTATATGTTAATATATATATATATATATATATATATATATATATATATATATATATATATATATATACATATACATATATATGTGTGTGTGTCTGTGAGTGTGTGTGGGTGTGTGTGATGGTTTGCCCGTATTTGTTATAATGGCCCTACCTGAAAGAGAAGAGAATATTTTAACATACACACGCAGAGCTGTACATGCATGGCAGTAGGCACATATACACACATACCAATTTGTTGTTCTATACATATATATATATATATACATTACGCAACGGGTTGCACAGGATTGAAAACAAGAGCAAAGAGGTGCGTTTGAGGAAAAGACAGAGAGAAGGACGGGGAACAAGCTCATGGTGTTAGATATCGATTGACATTACACTTGAATATTTGAATATTATCATAACCAGGGAAGCAAGTAAGGTGAAGGAAGTTCCGCTGCCTGGAATTGCGAGAGAAGAAGCTGTTTGAGTGGAAGAGACGGTTACATTTAACCATTTTGTCAGTGAAAGGTTGGGACCGAGATGCCAGCCTGGTAGCACGTTTAAATTCGTCGACTCCGGGAACCAGTAGCAGTAGTTCGTCTGAACAGTTGCCGTGAAAATATTTGTAGAAGCGGCAGAGGGAGGCCACATCACGTCTGTGGGATAGAGATTGTAGACTATGATCTTGCATATTCATCACTGGATTTTGTCTAGGACCTAGAGACGTACAGCGGGAGCACCAGACCATATATGACAGCAATATTCCATGCAAGGACGGATGGTTGATTTATATATTTGAAGGATGGACGAAGACAAGAAAATCTTCCTGGCACGACACGGAGAATCAACATTTCTTGCGGTAGATGAAGCTATTGATTCAATGAATTTAATTGACCTTATGTTTTTTTTTTACATATTTTTTAAATTTATAAGCTCAGCATGTTAATTTTTTATTTATATTTTTTTATACGTGTATTTGATCACATTTAAATACTACTTCTCCCTGACCATAAACTGCTTTATATATATATATTTTTTTTCGTTTGAATGTGTGTGCAGGTGTATATAGGAACTCATAGGCATATTAGAAGATATAGGTATGTGGATATAAATAGGAGTTTAAAACATGTGTAGATAAAAGATTGTAAAAGAAGGACCTAATTTTCTGCTAGTGACATCTCATCCAAATCTCTCCTCTAATATTCTCCAATTGGAAGTGAGTTTTAAATAGCACGAAGGTAAAGTTTAAATTGGTATTTTAATTGAGATTGAAATATACTACCCCATTATTGATGATAAAATTATTTAAATGTGAATAACCGTTGATAATTGGGTACATAAAAACAATCATGAGTTTACTTAATGAACAAAAATCAAACGAATAGATGTCAACCTAACAAGCAAGAAGATAAAAGTTTTAGTAGAATAAAAAAGATTACTAAATATAAAATAGATTACTCTTTCAATGTTCTGTCTATGAATTTTTCCAATCGACAGTTTCATAGAAAATACCCAAAACTCCACCGAATTTCAAATTAATTTCTTCGTAGATTGTTTTAACATTTAGATATTTATCAAACCTTAACCTCCCAAATATGCACGTTAAAGTTACGCGAATTAACAGCGTCTAAGAATTTGAATGAAACCTGTCGTGTAATTTATTGGGGTTGTTGTAACTTCTTCCTTTAATGTCGTTCTTATCATTCACCCCTTAGCCATCTATATCTAGAGACGAGACGCGTTAAATTTGAGCAACAACTAGCCGACACACTTGGGTTAAAAATAGGAAACTAAATGATAAATATGACACACTCCTATCCTTTCTCCCTGCTCACTTCCTCACTTCGTTAATTTTACCTATACTTGATGAGGTCAGTCAAAAACGTGTGAATTTCTTTTCATTTTTCATTTCAGCTTTTGGAAGTAAAGTCTGATGATCCAGAACCCTGTTAAAGGGGTTATCGTGAAATAGCTTATTACATGGAATCTTAACGTGGTCTGTTTTTTTATTCAAACATATCTGCTCTGGATTTTACATTGAGCTCTCTGGATATCATCCTCCTCACGTCTACCCATACGGATTACCTAAATTTGCATAAACTAAATATATATATATATATATATATATATATATATATATATATATATATGTATATATATATATATATATATATATATATATATATATATATATATATATATATATATATATATATATATTTTCAGTTTTTCGTCCTCATCATCTTCCACCATCATTCATTGATATAATTTTTATATCTATTTTTGTATAAACAATTGTATATATTGAAATTTTAAGTTATGGGGTGTTTTTCAGTAGGAGCGCTGTGTATATGAAGTATATGTAGTGTATGTGGGAGCGAAGGGTGATGGTTAACTTCTTATGGCGAATGAGTAAACTGTAACGACTGGGTCGTGAACCTGATTAGCTAAGTATAGGATAAGTTAATGTCGACCAATTTTGACCCATATAAGCTCTGGTAAAATATGTAATAGTAATAACAGAAAAATTGCGATATGAACACTGGTAAAAATCGATGCTTGGACATTACGTTTAAGACCCAAAAATTGATACACAGATGTCTTCAAGGATATCTGGCGTAGTGGTTATATCCAGTGACTGGACCCTAGGAGTTGTGAGTTCAATAGCAGTGGACAACAAATTGTAGATTTCAGTTAAATCGGAAATCACTGGAAGAGGCATGGCTCGTGAAACTAGAGCAATCTACCCCCGTGGACGAAATAAGAGGTGCGATTCGAAATTCCAATCCTGAAGAAAGCCGAAATAGCTGATTTATTAAGATAGAAAATTCGGTTCACCAAATCCCTTCCACAACGGTCTATCAACGGTAACCATCAGCAATTGTAGTATTGACTTATTTGTCCCTTGTTTGACATTGTTGTCATACCTGGACGTACCTATTCTATTATTAATAGACTCTCCCACACATAATAAGTAGTAGTAGTAGTAGTAGTAGCGGTCGCCAGTTGGGGGCTCAGTGGTGTTGAGCGAGTCAGTCGATATCGGACATTGAAGTACCAACCATCACAACTAGATTGCTGCGGCATTAACTCTTATTTCAAGTTCCTAACGTTTTGTACGTCGAACCTAATTTATGACGACTTATTGAAATACAAGCCTCCACTGTGAAAACTACTCTACAACAAATGTCCAACCAGTTATTTTGCGTTGGCGTCCTCTCTTACGTCCATCTTCAACGGTGGCTTGCATCATGGTCTTGCACAGGCTCGCGTGCCTTGTAACGTGCCTAAACCACCGATTTATACAGACTGATTTAAAAAAAAAAAACGGACAAAAAATATCTGTTTATTTTTTTAATTATATTTTTCCAAATTTCGGATAAGTTTTTAAGTATTGTGCTTGAAGTTGTGGCTAAACTGCCCACATTTCATGTTTTTTTTTATGTTTTTGGTTATAAAAGACAGCTAATTTTATTTAGATTCATTTTCTTTTTATTGTGAATATGGCAATGAAGATGAGGATAACAGCCCGAATAATGTAAATAATGTAAGTAAACTGTATTTTTCTTTTTCTTAAATCGCTCTCTCCTCTTAAATGTTGAAAAATATTGTTATATTTTTATATATAGTTACGTCAATCATTTGTTTGTTAAACTATAATAACAATTATTAATTACGTTTTGTGTTTTGAGTGAACATCTTAATAAAATCTTTTCGCTTAGCGTCTTAAGACAGCCGATTTTTATGTCTACAGTTACATTCGAAAAAGTGTGTTCGCAGTAAACGGATTATGGCAAATTATTTTAATCTTGACTTAATTAAAGACAATTATTTTCAAAAG